TGTGTGTGTGTGTGTGTGTGTGTGTGTGTGTGTGTGTGTGTGTGTGTATTAATAGTTTTATACTTACGGATGTATCACAGTTGCCCTTGACCCAGTGCACAAGAAACCGTTCGGCGTGTGCACGCACTAGTCGTGCCATATAATCCCTTGCCGGAGCCCCGCCACATAGTAGATCCCCGTGCTGATTTTAATACTCGCATACCGGATGCACGCGACGGGTTCACTATGCTATAATCGTATCCTCGTATGTTATGATTGCGCGAGACACCGCGACTCTATGTATCATCGTGCATCGACGTGCGTGCATATTGTAATACGTGTAAAAGATCGATCATCGGCGCGCAATCATTCCATCGAGACTTATCTGTATCAAGATGATATACCTACCAGTGTCATATTCATAGATATTATTGACAGTGTGCTTAAACGTTCGCTTGCGATACACGTGGTGTCGGATAAACGTACGCGATAATGTATATTTATGTATTCATACTATATGCGCAGGAACGTACATTCGTTCTATGCAACATGGAAAATTGAAAGGAAATAAACACAACTCGTAGTACGCATGTACGTCGCTTATACATACCGAAATCGATTTCAGCTTTGTAAAAAATATAGTGAATAACGTGAACGAGCGGCAATAATTTCTGTGTGGTTGTTTTCTAAACGCACTTGTTGAATCTCAAACATTGCATGGATAAGTTAAGCCCGTAGCCGTGTACGATACACGGGTCTCTAGGTACCTGCAGATGTTAGTGATACTCGTCCATATTATTTTAGTACAAAGACCGAACTAGCATGTATTTTTTTTCACGATTGTAAACGTAGTTTCGATGTTCATTCGCGTTACATCGTATTTCGCCAAAGCTTGTGTACTACAAACAAATCGTGAACATTTAAAATGTTTTCCATCATTTGTTCAAAGCTTAACGGAAAACGATTTCATAAATAATTTACCATGCTGCTGTGTATGCATACACACGCATTAAACTTTTCAATGCACACGTGGTGTGTCTACAATAGTTTGACGCAGCAGTGATTGAAAACTATACAAAAGGGAAATGTTTATATTGATATGATTTTTATTACTGTATTATATTGTTGCCATACACTTTGGACCAACACGTATTCTTCCAATTATCAAATTTAATAAGTATACAAGAATCGTCTAGCGGTTCGGTTTTTTCCGTGCAGATATTACTTCCCGAATTTGGTGATGTACGTTGACGTAATAAGCGTAAAATTGGATTTTCGTTCAATATACTTATACTAAATAATTTGCAAGTACACCGTACCATTTGTAATTTATACAATATTAAACATGAAGAGTACCCTTGTTAAATGTTTAATCACTTGTAATATTATCGTAAACTATTTTTACTATATTGTTAATTTGTTTATAATTTACTGGTAATATTTTCTTATGTCGCTTAGTAGTTGTTAAACAGATATTTTTTTATAATACTTAATTGAAATAATTTCAGTTTTTTTTTTTATATCAATTGGATGCTAATTTGTCGTGTTTTTGTGTCTATTTATTTCTTTCAACTATATTGTACTATTGAATTTTGATTTTTGGCAGGTACAATGAACTCTTGAGAACTGTTTTGTAGAAATATATAAATATAAACGTATTTTTAAACACTAAACATAATCATATTGTCACATAATATTTTTTAATGACAATTATTGAACTTCATGAATAGTAAAATATTTTACGTAATATTTATTTATTCAAGTTAATTTTAAAATCAACTAGAAATGTATTATTTTTTGATGAAAATAAATTAAAATAACGTTATTGAAATAAAAAGCTTTTATCAGTTAATATTTTGGTACTGTTGATATTTCTATTGAAATATTAGCAAAAAATTTTGCATGTTAAAAGTATTTAATTTTCTGAATAAGTTAATTTACTTAATAACAAATAAAAAAAAAAAAAAAAAAAAAACGAAGAGAAACAGATAGGTAGTTATACTAAGAAATGTTAAGTTGAGCTTATAGTGATTTGAAAAGTTCATTGTCCATTAAATGAAGTAATGATAATAAACTTGTTTAATATCATAGATTGGTTGATGGGCTCGACTAAATAGTAATTATTTATAACGATCAATGTTTATTTAATATATTTTGTAACACATTTTTAAGTTCTAAAGTATTAGGCTGAATGTTATTTTATATTTAAAAACTACTAAAGTTACCTATGTTTTGATTTTAATAAAAATGAAAATATATATTTACAATGACAGACATATTTTATACTACTGCTGAAATTCCAATATATGCCAACATATAAGTATGCTATGAGAAATACGAAATTTAAATTAATTATAAATATTATTCAGTATTCTAATTAAAAAAAAAAATTCTTCATTGATTATTTTGTATTAAAATAAGTGTTATTTAAGATAAGTTTATTTTTGATTAGATATTTCGTAAAATCAGTTGTTGGAAATCCTTTTTGCTTGATGTGTAATAATATACCAATGCATTATTACATGTATTATACAATTATATGCTTGCATAAACTAATTTGAAACAGAAAATAAAATGAACAACTTCAATTTCTTCTTCTCCTTTGCCTTTCTTCTAACTATTTGGAGTTGGCCACCGTTATCTTAAACCATCACTTGTCTTAATTTTATACATCCTCAACGCACACACCAATAGTCCTCATATGATTCTCAATCGTATCCAACCATCTATTTTTTGTCTTCCTCTTCCTCTTTTCCCTTCAACGTTCATTTTTATAACCACACTTATTACTTTTGTTTCCTCTCGCCTCATTACATGCCCAAATTATCTCAGTCTATTTTTTCTCATCTTGTCCACTAACGACGCTACATTAATACTACCTCTCACATATTTGTTCCTTATTCTATCTTCTCTTGTCACTCCATTCATCCATCTAAACATTCTCATTTCCGCAACACTCATACTCTGTTTTATTCTCCTGTCAACTACCTAACACTCAAAAACTTGAACAACTTCAATTTGATCTTTAAAAATACATTTTTCGAACACAGTTTTGTAGTAAATTAACAACCTAGTTGCCGAGGCGCATTATATTGGGATATGTTATTCTGGGTTTGAATTTATTTTTTCAAATACTCGACTTTTTGTCAATTACATGTTCCAGTTCCGGAAAAAAGTATAACAAATATATTGTACCAATTTTGGTTTCTTCAGTTATAGTTTATTCTTACGGATTTTTGTGGTATATGGTGTGTGCATGTATGGTCAACGTTCATTGAAGATATATTTTATTAAAACAATTTTTTTACAAGTTTCCTATTCACTAAGCATATAATAGTTTTATAACGGAAAAAAAGCCACAATGACATTACATTACTGGAATTATTAGGTGAACTTATTTACAATCTTAACAGGCATACTATACTATATTAAATAATATTCGTAGGTATTTATAATCAGGTTGGTCCTAATTTATGGTTATTCTATATTTTAGGTACACTTCATTTTTATTTTTATATTTAGTATTCGAATACTCGTATATTATTTATACTTTTAAAAAGAAAACAATTTGATCATTGGTTTGAAATAAAAAAAAATATATAATAAATTTACTAAGCTTTAGAATATAGATTCTAATTAAAAGCGTCAATATGATGTTACAAAATTGTTCAAATAATTAGTTGAAATACTTGAGTGTGAATCTTAAATACTTCGATACAGTAAAATTTTGCAAGACGAATGCAAAATATGCATGTTCCTTTTTTCATTTAATGTCAAAATGTAATTATTATAATATTGTATATTATATATTAATGAAGTTGAAATCGATTGTTATTTTAATGTATTTTTCTGATTTTGGTATTTATAACAATAACATTTTTTAAATTTGAACTCAACTAATAATAAAGTATTATACTATTATAACATATCGTTAATACAGTTTTTCAACACAGTCGTGAAAAGCTTGGTTTCTTGTTGAATCATATCCAAACTAAATTAAACAATTGCATGTTAGCTAAAAGTGTATTAAATACGACCTGAGATTTTGCTGTTAATATTTAATCAGGAAGCCCATTGAACATCGTTATTTTTAGACCGAACGCGTCCGAAGTTTAGGGTGGTGAAACATACGTCGTGCACTATTATAATATTGTCGATACCTGTAAGGTATAAGAAAAACAGTATAAATCTGTTTTGTGATAGTAATAACGACGATAATAATGCGGCAAGCAAAGAATGCGAGTACAAGAGTACCTACTCGATGCACTAATGATAAAAAAAAAAATAAAAAAGAAGAAAAAGAAACGATGTATACAATCGGAAAACGAACCAACCGCGAGCTGAATGCATGTGGTCGGCGTAGCTTGTGCGCTCGGTGGTAGGGAAGAAGTTATAAAAGGAACCGGTGGCAATGATCTTGGACGCAGTGCAGTTTACCAGTCCTTGACCGACCGATGTCGCGCCGTGCACAGGTGTCATCACTACTGTTCCGATTGTAGTACGGTCCGGGCATAGAGACTTTAACGCTTCCGCGTGCACCGGCCGGCTACGGTTTTTGATTAAAATATTATTTTTACAATATTTTCCAAAATAGATTCATCGGATCTACAAATAAATATTTACGTTTATTACATTGGTATGATCATAGTGATTTCATATACGTAAATTGTGCAAAAATCGGGGTTCTTAAGTGTTGATATTGGTGTAACGACGAGTTCCAGCGGGTGTGTGTACCCAAACAGTGAACGCTCACAGCGGCACGGCAAATCATAAATTGTAAGTAATTATTTTATAGCAGTGAAATACTGTAAATATAACGTACTTATATTATCGTAATACTTTGCATTATTAATAGTATAATCCGTTGATTTAAATAGTTTATATAATGGTAACGTCAATAGGAATTGAAACTATTTTGATAGTTTTACTATTAGGAGTACGAAAATACAATTTCGTCGTATATTTCATATATTTAGTTTCAAAACGGTAAATTAACAACTAATATATAATGTTTATGATACATATTTTGTGTTTAAATTAATATTAAAATCAATTCTTGATAAAGCAAGTAAAATTATTAATTCATTAAAATATCTTTAATTTAAAAAATTAATCACACTACTTATAATATAAATTTAAAAAAAAACTGTTAATTATTCAAAAGGATAGTCTGAATATTTTTATGCACGAGTAGTATTATCGTTAGCCCGATTACATATATTTATTTTATTATTCGAAACATTTTGCTGGATCAATGATTATTTTTCCGTTGAAAATAAATTCATAAAAATATAAATATTTTAATTTCGAAAATATTAATATCCAGATTATAATAATAATACCATAAAACCGTTTGTAAGCATTATGCTACGAACCGTTTCAGACGTTGTAAAATGAACAGTTATGAATATAATAATTTATATTTTTTCGAATTTATTCAAAAATCGTAGAACATCTAACGTTCCTGTGAAATTAATGAGTGTTCAGGAGTTGATGAAAGATGATCCCCGCAATCATGGGAACTACGACTGTTTAACAGTTATATTCTCAAGTTAATAATAATTGGGGTAAAAAAAAAAATTAATATAAATGATTAATATTTTTTAATGCGATTTACAGAGGTATACATATATATATATATATATATTTACACTGCTATTAACATTAATAATATACATCGTGATCGATGAATATTACATTATGATGGTAACAAATTAATATTAGAAAATAATAACAATGCGCAACGGGCTAACATGGTTGACCTACTACTACTATTTTTACTATTACGGTCTACACTACTATTACTATATTATAATAAATACGGTAGGTACATCACCAACGTGAGTGTAACTGTGGTGACAACTTGCCCACATCATCACCCACATACATACGTACACTAATGACAAACGCAAATGAGAATTCGATTACGCCGTCGTTTTCCGGAACACTTTCCATCGTGCGGTGTTCTCCATATCCAATGGCTTAACGCATACACGTATACTATGATGTCGGCGTAAATTGTTTAACCATATGCTTTTTTTTTTCGGTCATTATTAGCGGTTGAAAATCAATCGAATATTTTTCCAACTTGACCTAGTGTTGACGGTTAAAAAAAAAATTATAATATCTGGCAACGATAATCCGATCCGATCGTTAACTATACATCAGCACTCTAAATCACATGTAATTTAGTTAAAATGCTCTTACGGCACCGGCATTCGGTTAACATTGTGTTTTCAATGTTAAAAATATGCCATCGTCATTATTTACTTTTACCCCGTTAACTCCCACTCATCTTTACAACAACAATATTTACAGTTAAGTGAAAAATATTAAAATTGAACACGTATACCGTTGAACGTGTACGCGTTATTTTTTTCCTTATTCACAAACAATCATTTATTTATTAATACGAAAAGATGAAATCATAAATGTACGTTATTTATCAACTTTAAATAATAATTTTTACAGTATAACGCTGATCCTCATTGTAATTACTATTATTATTAAATTACGACTAGGACACAGCAACTAGGTATTAGGTTTGGATATTGTTTTTCTACGTATGTATATACAATAACAGAGTACAAATTATTTTAATGATCAATCAAATAAAAAAAAATAAATAAATAAAAAACACCAATAGATTAATTTATTTTAAGGTTCATACGAGTAGAACTTGTATATGGATATAAGTCATTAAAATAAAATTCTTCGGGTACATTATGACACTCCCAGTCTTAAAAAATTTGCTATTGGTCAGATATATTCGTATTTTAGCATCATTGTAATATGATCAATTTCAAACATAGATTAATGTATTTTATTTAAAAAATGATGTCATACCTGTAATTTGTGAAATATGTTCATACCGTTTATTTTAATTTAAAGTTATTTAATAGGATATTATACCAAATCTCCGATTGTGAACTATTAATACAAACTCAATTTTCCTCTATCGAATATTAATATTTTGTTACACAAATTAAATGGTATTAATATTTAACATTGTATGTATTTCACAGTTGCTTGGATAAAAACTAAATCTTGATGAACTATTTTTTTGACTACGGTTAAATGCCGATACCATCATTTACAGTGTATTAAACTAGGTGATAATCAAAAATGCAAAACCGCACGAATTCAAACATGCCATGTGGAACAAACATCAATGAACGATTATTATTAATATTTACCGTTTTGCGGTGTTGTAGATCAATTTCCTATAAACATTTCAGGAAGTAAAATAAGAATTGTAATGTCATTGACTTTGAGGTTTGCTGTACTTCACATTTCCTCACTTCTTATGATAAATTTGCTCTTCGTAGATTAAATCAATGTTCGCAAAAGTGAACTAACTCATTCAATGTACTACGCGAATAATTTTAGGAACACACGGAGTTTTTGTATAATTAGTCGAATAATTTGAATATCCAGAAATCATAACGTGGATCCATGTGATGGCTGTGGTTTCTGACCGTTTTAAAATCAATGTGTATTCTACATGTATGAGTATGTGTATGAATGTATACTCCAGTAATGAGTTGAATCATCACTAATTCATAGCGCATAGGTAGTATAACACACACACACACACACACACACAGCTATACAAACACTTGCACATATTATATGCACTCGTACGTAAAACAAAGCAATTTTGAATATGCTTTGACACGTGTGTTTGTCCATCGGTTCAAAATATGTGGACCAAAATGTGTTACTTTAGGTAAATGTTGGATTTTGAATGCCCCAGAAATATCTTATTGTCTTACTCAATGTCTTATTTCAATACTGAACTTAGTGATTTAAAGATACGAATCGTCCAGACTTATATTTTGTGAACACATATGTTTTTAATAAAAATAATAGGTTCAAGAATGTGTCTAGTCTAAAATACGCTAACGAAATTGTGCAAATACATTTATCTTTTGAGCTCATGTATTATATTTGATTGCAATCATTATGGTATTCGTAAATACACTTTTAGACGTTCGTACAAATCTATTATTGTTCAACTCGTCACTGCACCGACAACATGATATAATACTATTGCAGTCTGTTTCGCGGGTTTATAGGAAGGTATCTAATTAGCTGTGTTTATCTAAAAATAACGTTACCACTATTTTAAGATGAACTCTGTCAGGTTTTGATGTGCATAGAGTGCGGTAAGTGCAAGCCGACAAAAACAATAAACCGGTTTGCCTCGTTTTTAGTATGTTCTCTAGCGTGTGTGAAACTTTGACTCCCGCGGGGGTAATTGCGTAGTTCACGGTACGTGTTATAAACCAGTTGCGATATGTGGGTCCCGTTACGTTTCGGTTTCGTTCTAACGTTACCGTATGTACCTGAAATTAAGGGTTTTGGCGGGAAATATAACCCTATAATTCCAAAGTGATGAACCATAATAATGAACATTCTGCATACATTATAGTATCACCGTAAATGGTGTTACGTTATTGGTCACCGTGCAATATATATATATATATATATATATATATATTTATTTTTTAAAATATCCTTATTATGACTTAATGTATATTCGATATTTAAATATTAGCTTAGGCTCGTATTTTAAGCAAATGTTTTAAACTGTATATATTTAGTATTCAACCATGACAATATGACCTAAAAAGAAGAAATACGTATTCCAGCACATTAAAATATAATGCTTGAAATAATATCCCTATGGTGTAAATAATATTATTTTTTATTTCTATAGTCAGTCTTACAAACCAACAATTTCTTTATGATGATTTTTGATTATTATTGTAAAATACTTACATCTTTTTATTTAAAACGTTGTATGTTATCGATATATCTGTAGGTACCTGCAGAACTTAGGATTTATTGAGATCGGTGACACGTGCGAGGCATGTGTGAAGAAGCTACCAAGCATAGTAATGGGATTAATGCACGTGGACATAATATGTTCAGATACTGCTGCCAAATATTTTATTTTCATGTATTACCAAAGAGGAATAAAAAAACTCGAATAACTTGATCAGTTAAAAGTATATTTATTAGTTACACAACCATTGGTATTAAAAACAAACATGGGATAGATATTGAAAAATTATTTCAACAAGTTTAAAATGTTATTATAATCAAAAATAAAAATATTATTAGTACTTTAATTTCGAGTCTTTGTTAACAGATCACCGCGGTGTGGCCGAAATTGTTAGTATTATTTTCTTTATAATATTTATATCCAAGTAATAAAAACTTCTAAAACGTAAAATATTTATAAAAAACGTATTTATTTGCTTTTTGTTCTACTCGTACAATTCGTCAATGTTACATTTGTATTTCATTTTTTTATTATTGTAAATTGTAACGATAAATTAAGGCCAAAGAAATTGGTTTCGGCAAACGATCGTCCTGAATAATATTCTAGTACAAATCCATTTTTTTAATACATCGGAGATTTCGATGCTACCTACCAATTAATCCAAATTTTTTAGTTTTTACTTTTGAACTAAAATTATTTGTAAATAAATCTTAAAAATATACATGCCATAAAAAAATGGCTAGTAACGACAATTTTTTTCATATTAAATTGCTAACGAGTTAATAACGTTTGATTTTAAAATGATTATTCTTTTTTTCTCTCAATCATACACGTTTGGGAAATTTTTGACTCCTCGTAGCCACTTCTAATGACAGTTTGTAAATAATTAATAAATTCCCTTTTATATAATATTTTATACAATATCGTGTCTACATATACATGATATATATTTATACCCGTTGATTCGCAAACAATGACATTGTAA